AGAAAGGAACTCAAAAGGCACAGCCAAATATTCAGTAGTGAAAAAAGATAAAGAGCATTTTTAAGTTTCAAATCCTGGACAAACAGCTGAGGTTCCTATTTAACTTATTAAAGGTGGACCTGGCCACCAGATTCTCCCAGCATCCTTCAGTCCCTACAGGGTTATGGATACCATACTCCACCCCTTACCCTGAACTCTCCAGTCAAATGGTTCAGCTGCCCTTTCTCCAGAGGCTTTTCTGTATTTAATCCAGACATTTTGGTCACCAATCCTTCTTTCTAACCTATATACTCCAAGATTTACACCACCACACCTGGCTTGGGATTTTAAGATGTAACTTTAGGCAATAACCTTTGAGTATATTTGTAAAGACTTGATAAAGACTCTCTGAAAAATAGATCTTTGGTGATATATTAATGTGACATGCCAGTTATTAATAGTATGGAATGAACAATTTTTGTTGTACAAAAATAATAGTTTTAAAATGATGTTGTAATAAAAAAAAGATAAAATTTCTTAATTTGCTTTTGTTCCTACCAAATTATTGACTAAATGCATAATTTGATCAAACAACTAGCTATTAAATATACCTGTTTTTAAGCAAACTAATTTTTTGTTTTTAGTTAATTGCATTAGGCAAAATTTTGACATATATAGAAGAGTAAAACTCATCTTTTTAAAAGAATCATGTTTATACTTAGAATGACTGGAAACTTAGTTTGAGCACATTAAAGGATTTGATCATTTATATGGTGATTGTGTTGACCATTAATTTACATGTCTTAATTATTCTTAACAGCTTATAAGGTTGTAAGTAGCTTTTATATGATTAGGATTTTACAGTTTTAGATATACATCTCTGAGTTAATTTTTGTTAACTTGAGTTTAACTTTATAACCTTAGGGATTAAACATTGTACAAAAGCCATTCTAATCTAAAATATTTTTGAGAGCTGTTGTTGCTTCCAAAATTTCAAAAGAAGATATAAAAATAAACAGAGGATTCATTAGGACTAAGAAATTTTATAGGTACTACCCTTTACAATAACAATCATAGTTCCTGACTTCCCTACTGTCTAGGTTTTTCCTGCCAATATTTTTTTAGAGATGGAGGTACCAGTGGTTCTGTGTTACTGTCATGTTTCAATAAGATTAGATTGATTTATTTATTATTTTTAAAGCAAGGAAGCTGAGGGGAAGGAGCACATCAAGCCTTTTTACCAACTCTTGTCTACCATTTCTATCTCCAAAGTCCTCATGTTTCATCCATTCCAACTTTCTGTTAACCAGACTCCAGTCTCAAGGACCTCATTCCCAAGACTTTCTTCTACTCCGTCCTCTCTATATTCACAATCCTTCTGCACAATCCTCTCTCATTAGGTCACTAATAATTCTATTATTAGTGCATCTCTGTCCTTTATGTACTAATTTAGATATGAAGTCGGTCAATGTTGAACCTCAGTCTTTTTTAAAGATGCCCATTTTAGATGAGAATACGTAAATGGTTCCAAAGCTATCAATTGTGATTATAAAACTCTAATACTTTCTAGTCCTTCCAAAAATCTATCATGCAAATTTAAATCAACAGAGTCAGTTAAAATATTCAGGGGCAGCCAGGTGCATGCCTTTAATTCCAGCACTCAGGTGACAGATGCAGGTTGATCTTTGTGAGTTCCAGGGCAGATTACAGAAAAGGGATAAATTGACAAAGCAGATTTCAACGTAACTTTTTAACTATTCCTTTACACTAATTTGCATTGAGTGCTCTCAATTGAAGGAACTCACTTGGCAAAGGCTACAATCAACCACCCAAGTCTCCTGGTGAATACTTGGACTGAAAAGGGTGTAATATTTAAAACTTAAGCTTTGAAGACCCAAGGTATTAGTGTATTAGAAGTGTATTAGAAAGTGTTTAAGGTGTGTAAAGGCACATTTATGTAAGATCTGAGCATGTGAAAGCTTAAGGGGTAATAAAGTGATTTAAAGTATATAAAAAGAATGAAAAATGCTCTTTCTCTTCCTGTCTTAGAGGTTTAACATTAATCAATGGAGTTCTGATAAGCCATTAACCTAGCTCTGGCAATGCACTCCTTCTATTATCAAGGTCACAAGCTCAAGATTTTAAATTCTCCTTGAATGCTTTCTAAGTATAGACTGAAAAGTGTTCCTCATTGTGCTAAAAAGCACTGTCTCGTGTGTATACACCCAGTCTTCCGGACAGAAGGAAGAGGCCCTGCTTTTCCTGGTCTGAAAATCATGGTCGAGTGAGCATTGGCCCTTCATCTCTGAAGGTTTCTGTCCTACCTGAGCTCACTTTAAAGGGTGTTCATGTTTCTAACCCAGAATCATTTCTGGGTCCCCAATCTTTTACTATGACACAGAAGCTTGAGTCCACTGCTCTTTCCATGTGTGAATTTTAGTAGATTACAAAAGAGTAATTATGCTAAGACGTTTAACACTTGTACCTCATTTTATAAACTTAAAACAAATTCTTGTAAATTTCAGGGAATAGGCTTGAATTCACATCTAACATGTCAAATGGCCTTGTTTATAAAATGAGGTACAAGTTTGAAACATTTTAGCATTACCACTGTTTGTAATCTGTGCTGAGAACCTCTTTCCTTTTCCCTGGTCTCGGGACTCCCCTCACCAAGCAACCAGGGCCATGAATCTAAAGGTTTCAAAGGTACACCTAAGAAAAGAATTTCCTTAGTCCCCTTAACATTGTGTTCTGCTCCATATATTCCGGAAGATTTTCAAGTAATTAAAGACTGCAAACTGCTCCAAATACTGCCTGCATGTCTGTAACTCCAAATGGTCTTGCAGAACCTGGACAATGAGTGAAACAACCTCTTCTTCTCAGATTTGGCCAACATTCCAACTTTTTGGGTCCCCTGATATGATGTTCCAATGCCAAGAAGAGGTAGTCATAAATGATTTCTGTGTTAGTTTGAAAGAAAATGGCCCCCAAAGGGAATAACACCATTAGCAGGTAGTGTGGCCTTCTTCCTCCTTCTTGGAGGAAGTTTGTCGTTATAGAGGTGGGCTTGAGGTAGCACATGCTCCAAGTATAGCCCAGGGTCTGAGACCATTTACTGTTGCCTTCTGATCAAAATGTAACCTTGTCTGCATTCACACCACCATGTTCCCCACCATTTTGACAACAGACCCAATCTCTGAAAGTATACACCACCACCTCAAATAAATGTTTTCCTTTCTAAGAGATGCTGTGGTCATGGTGTCTCTTCACAGGAATAGAAAGCCTTAGTAAGACAATTACATCATCGTTATCATTCATTTATTGTCAGCAAAAGTCCAGGAGGTCACATTTCAATCCTGGAGCAAAAGGCTGAGTTGCCTATTTAAAATATCAAAACTGGTCGCAGACACCAGGTCCTCCTAGCAGCCTCAGTCCCTACAGGTGTGGCTGGAATTTCCTGCCCTCCACCCTGAACTCTCCAGGCCAGGGGCAGGGCTGCCTTTCCCCCCAGAGGGAATTTCCTATAAAATTCAGACATTTTGACTACATGCACCTTTTTTACCTTTGGTCTCTTGGCTGCTGTTCCTGGACCCCCTCTTTTCTAGCTTTATTCCCCTCCCCCTCTCTACACATGACCCTTCTCGGTATGACCATGTCTACTCTGGACTCTCACTATGCTCTCCCAGGTATCAGTAATAAACTTTCTCCTTCACCACACTTAGGAGCAGCCATGTTCTTTCCTGTCCTTTTTATTTCTTTTTTTTTTCATTCAATTATACCCAATGATGTAGGTCAAAACTATTTATTTTCTCTGTTATCTTATTTACAATGAAAATTAAGCATTCATTTAAGCACTAACTAAAGGATTAAGAGGAGAGAACAATCTTTGTATAATGAATGACTAATACTTCTGGAAATTAAACTGCCTTGGATTAGTACCATAAGCCCTGGTTGTGAATGTTTTGTATGAGAAGTTGGCCTTGTTTTCATTTTTTTTTCTCCCATGAAGGGATCATTGATTTTTTGTGTTATTCCTTCTATTAGAGAAAAAGAAAAACTCATTTCCCATCAAGAGACCTTTAATATTGAGGTATTCCCACTATGAGGGAAAAACAAGATTAACAAAAAAACTTTGAACGAAAATCAAGCAAAGGTATAACAAGGAAATTCAACATCCTGGACCATCTGGGCGAGCTCATGGTGCAGCAGTGCAGCCCGAATGGCTTTGGTGGGCCCTGGGCAGGAAGACGGAAGAGTGCACAACAGCAGAGCTCTGACTTCCAGTCAGCGTGTGTGAAGGCATGTCCCAAACTTACAGGGCTGACCTAGAAACTGAAATGCTCTGGAGTCCATTCTGCCTGTCAAGATGTGTCCAGCAGAAATTCTCTCTCCATTTAAAAAAAAAAAAATATTTCACAGGGACTTTATTACCCAAATCCAGCTCTGACTGGGTTTAGATTTAAAAAAAAAAATAAATGGGCAGAATGAATAGAAGTTGGGCATGGTAGTGCAGCCTTTAATCTGAGCCCTCTGCATCAGAGGCAAACTGATCTTTATGACTTTTAGGCTAGCCTGGTCTGCATAGTGAGGTCCTGTTCAGCGAGGGCTACAGAGTGAGACCCTGACAAAGAAAATGAAACACTAGGAACATGATGTAAAAATAAGTATTCTTAATTTGGTTTACTTATTTTCACTAATGTTGCAGAATTGGCAGAAAAAATAAATCTGTAGAGCTGTATGTCAAGTGAGCAGTAAAATATGAATAATTTTGTCATCAGAGTCTGAGGCTCTACAGTAAACATGGTGTGAGAAGCTCACTCTGACCACGTAGGGTTTAGTTCTCTAAATCCTGTGTTCACACTGATGGGCTTTTTCCATAGAATAACGGTTTAAGAGAATGCAGATTAGCGCATTTTTTTTAAAATCAAATTTTCTCTCTACAAAAATGAAAATCAGCCCGTTTTCCACAGTGGGCCTGAGGTATCTAGCTCAGGAAGTGGCCGGTTTCCTTTGTCCTTCCTCAGTTTCATAGCAAAACCTCACTAATGTCCTAGAAAAGAGTCCTACTGAGTGCAGGGATTGTTCAGGGAAGACTTTGCAGTCCAGCCCCTAGTTCTGCGGCAATGTTAGTCTCTGCAGGTCTGGGGTGGAAGCCAGGGCTGGGAACCTCTGTCCTGCATCTCTTCACAACACTTGATTCCTAAGGACGCCGCTCCTGGCACTCAGGCCTCAGTAGCCAATCAGAACCTCCAGATGGACTGTCAGTCAGAATGGGAGGGCACTTCCGGTTCGCCTTTCGGTAAGCACCTTGTCTCTGGACTGAGGAAGGTTGTTCTGTTCCATGAGCTACGCTGTGACCTGCTGCCCGGAGCCAGGAGCTGTGGGGAGAGCGGGGCGAGCTCGGAATCCGCCATGGTGAGCAAGGGCCGCCGTCCCCAGACGGGAGGAACCGCGGGAGCCGGTGTGGGGTCCTCCCGGGTCTGTGGGAACCGGCGGTGGGAACCCTTTGCCCCCCGAGGTCCTTGCAACTCCCGCGGTGAAGCGGGACCTCTGAGTGATTTCGCTCCGCGGCGTGCGCAGAGCCTGGAGGAACCTGAGCTTTTGCGTGTGAACGTCCTTTTTACCGTGCAGGACGTCCGTTGTTATCAGACAGATTTATGACTCTCCATGTTTGCAGAAGACTTTCGGGCTTAATTTGTTAAAATAGTTAAATCAGCGGTGGTGGTGCATGCGTTTAAATCCAGTGCTTGGGAAGCAGAGGTCAGCCTGCTCCATAGAGCGCGTTCCAGGACAGCCAGGGACTACAGAGAGACATCCTGTCTGGAGAAACAACTACAAAAACAGAAAGGTAAATAGAATTTAAAACTTCTGTAACCTTGTGTGACGAAACATCCACTTTGCAGCTTCCAGATGGCGTCATCTACAACAACCACACTTAGGCACACCAAGAGACTGATGCCTTCATTGCTTCCACCAGACCTGATCCAAGGTTCCCAGAGTTCTCTGAGTGAACTGGGTACGGAGGGAAACAAGGGATCATGCCATGCACTCAGAGAAAAGATGTTGATTTAAAAGAAGTTTGGAGGCCTTGAATTGTTTAATCTCTTCTTAGATGGGGTAGGGAAGCCTGTCACCAGCCAAAGAAGTTGACTCCCGCTATTTGGAGGAAATAATTTTTTCCTTTTGTTTGTCTGTCTCTTTTTCTCTGTCTTATCGTCTTCCTCTCTGTCTGTTTTTCTTAGTGTCTTTCACTCTTTTCCTTTAGAGCTCTTTCTTCATAGACTGTATTCCTGTCGTGGTTTATATTTACTCAGCATCCTCATGCTCCTATCTTTGAATAGTTGGCCCCAATTAGTGGAAGTAATTGAGTAAAATTAGGGGGTCTGCCCTTCTGGGGGTAGATGTGTCTGGTTGATTTAGGTGTGTCACTGTAGGTGGGCTTTGAGGTTTCAGAAACCCAGTGCAAGACAATTGTCTCTTCCTGCCTGCCACCTGCCTGTGTATCAGGTTTTAACCCTCAGCCCCATGCCTGCCCATTGTGAAGCTTCCTTTCAGGATGAGAATGGACTAGCCCTCGGTCACTATAATCAACCCTCAAGATAAAAACCTTCCATTATAAGAGAAGCCTTGATCATAGTGCTTCTTCACAGCAAGAGAAGAGTCAGGAAGACAGGTTGTGTAATATATTATCTCTCTGTATTCTGTACATGTCCTGGAAAATAAGATAAGTGTGAATGAAAGAGCAGAGGACTGATTTTGTATTTGAGGGGGGGGGATGTTCTTGGTTACTAGAAAACAATGATTTTTTTAAAGATGCTTATATTATGTATATGAGTGCTTTGTCTACATGTGTGTCTTTGTTCCAGGCGAGGGCATCAGATCCCAGTACAAATGATCGTGAATCACTGTGTGGTTGCTGGGAATGGAACTCTGGATATCTGGAAGAGCTGTCAGTGCTCTTAGCTGCTGAGCCACCTCTCCAGTCCCTTGAGAAAGCATTCAGTCTGTGGCATGGTTATCACTAGCAAGACTTTCACTTCTGTCTTTATTTCTGTCTTAACCCATTTTTCATTTATTAGAGATGTCCTGAGAGTCCACATGTTGTTCCTGATTCTTCTGCTGTTGATATCCAGCTTTACTCTGTGGTGGTCTGACAGGATGCAGGGCTTATTTCAGCTTTCTTCTATCTGTTGAGCCTTGCTTTGTGCCTGAATATGTGGTCAGTTACGGAGAAAGATTCATGAGTGCTTGTTGTGGTCTTCACCAGAGAAGTTTGCTGGAACATGGATTTAAGGCAAGAGAGAGTTTTTATTAGCTGACCTGCAGCTACACTGGCTGTTCTTGTATCCCAGCATAGCCCTGAGCCTTTCCCAGCACAGAAACCATGTTCTGGGTTGACATACTTCAGTTAACAAGAACAATTAGTCAGAAGCAGAACTATAGACTAAAAAGCAAGGTTAGTACATGTAGAGACTTCCTGTAAATATGCACTTTGGTGGATTAGGCCTTTGTTTTCTTTTGGCTGGTGGTACTTTCTGTATGTGGATAAGATCTTGACCCTGAGTTAACTTGTTTTGTTTTGTTTTGCATTAAACTAACTTTAGCTGCCATTGCTCTTAGACAGATGGGCCAACATCTGGCTACAAGGTTCAATCATTTAGACATTGCCATGACCCCAAAGTTTGGGTTAAAACCCCTTTTGTTTTCTGTTTCTTGAACAAATAGATGAAAAGGTTTAGAGACATCTGGAAATTCTATGCCTGGAGTGGAAATCAGACCTGTTTTTAAAGCCTTAAATTCGTTTTGTTGAGTCTCAGTCCACATTAGGTGCCCAGGGCCCCTTTGTACTGGTGTATAGAGGCCTTCCATTTCCACAGACTCTGGTATCCAGAGACAACCATATCCAGCTGCACCTAGGAACTGTTTTACCATTTCTTAGTCTTTGGGGTTGGGATCTGAAGGATGGCAGCAATCCCGCTCTGAGGTTCCTTTTATCTCCCACTTCGGTCGGTAGCCAGATAGGCAGCTTCTACAAAGTTGGGCTTTCTTAGCTAACATCTTGTAGCCAAAGGTCTGTAAACCCTCAGGAGTCCCTCTGTGGTCTTTATAGTCTGTTTTCCCAGGAAACCTGGAGGAGGGGAAGTCACTCTGCTTTTAGTGTCCTTAACTCCAGGGCAACCTGGTCCAGGTTAGTTGCCGACTATAACCTCCCCCGGATCTGTGCAATTACAAACAAAGATGGTTGACGCATCACTGCCAATGAGAGGATGGGGAATGCATCTTCCAGGTCCAAGCCTGTACACACACTTCTCTGGAAGAAACAGACTCACGAGAATTAGAGGTACCAGGTTTCCTCATAGGCAGGAGCCACATGCTCCAGTGTGACTGACAGACCAGGATGCTTGTCTCATCAACCAGGCAATATGAACTTCATTTACCTGTTTTGTTTCCAGGGTATTTGGTGTTATTTATCTTTTGATTGGAGGCCTAACTTTCAGCTAGGAGATATTCTTCTGACAGAGGGTAGATACCAAATTTTTTGCTGGGTATCTCTAAGTCTCACCGCGTCTCATTATCAGAGAAGGTGAAGGTGACCTTCAGTTTGTGCAGAAGTTCCTGTCAGTTGTTGTTAGTTAAACATCTTTTGAACTGCCTCCAGCAGCTGGGACCTTCTTTTACTTTAAAAAAATTTAAACTTATATAACATTTTTCTAATACCCTGACTGACTGGGTAATCTTTCTAAAAAGAACTTAGTGAAATTCCTTAAATGTCCTTGGAAAGAAGGGAGTATCTGTTCTTTCCAGGCTGTGCTGCCTGGCAGCAGTGCCCTTGCCTACCACAGGGGCAGGGATTTTACTCTTTTCAAAGAGAGTGGTGGGCGTTAGAGATCACTGATTGAAAAAGAGACAGAAATTATGAAATAGAAAATAGTGGAACTTAATCTTTTCTTTTTGGTTCGTTTCGGTTTTCTCCTTCCCTGGAATTACTTAGAGCAGGCACAAAATGGAGGGAATGCTCACCTGGGAACTATTCCCCCCCATGCATTTGTTCTTAGGTGATGGTGAGTTGTGGGTGTAGCTCGGTGGCCTGGTACCTCCCCCCCCAGGAACCATGCTGTGTGAGAGCGGGGCTCAAGCAACAGTAGAAGGAAGCGCTTCTGTGCCTAGAGTGGCACAGAGGGAGGGGCTGGGTGAAGCGTCCTGTAAATAGCACTTAGGTCCATTTGGTTTATGATGTTTGGTAGCTTCAGTATTTTTGCTTAGCTTTCGTCTGGGTGGCTTCTCCACGGGAGAGACCTGGGTATTGACACCTCCCACTCTCAGTCCATGAGGGTCAATATTTGATTTGAGCTGTAGTAGTGTTTCTTTTCCTTATGAAGGGGAATAGATGTTAGAAATGCATTGATTGAGGAGGCCAGCCCGGACAAGTTATACACACCACACTCTAATGTTAATGGAAGAGCCTTGAGTTCCTCTTGCCAGAGGTAGGGAGAATTACTCCCATTTTAGTAGGCAGGACTTTCTCCAACCCATTGAGGAAATGGGGCTACTGTTTAAATTCCTGACTTTGGGAAAAGGATTTTCTCCAGGGACCAGATACTCCATTATACAATATTGCACAATTTATCCAAATAGCTAAAGTTTAAAATAAGCAAAGACTAAGATAGACAAATAGTACTGTGAACCTGAGTAGACCTTAGGAATTTATAAATTTCGATTTTTAAATATACATTTTTATCAAACAAATCTTATTTATCAAATATACCTTATTCATCAAGCATATGTTATTTATCAAAATTTTTCTAGCAGCTTGGTGTTAGCGTATGTGGAAGCAGGCAGAGTGATCATTTTATATGGTTCCACAGTGGCACAGATTTTTCCAAAGAATTATTTTGTTTAAAGAGGCTCCGTTGTATACACCCTCATTCTCCAGTAAAGTCCACACAAAATTTCCCAAAGGAAAAGACATAAGGGAAGTAGAGGCCTGTATTTCCATTGATGAGCCCTTTCTACAGAATAATAGTTAAAGAGACCATAGATTTCTGGTGCATTATTAATCGCAGAATTCCCAGATCTGCTCCAGGGTAATAAAAAGAAAGCTTCAGAGTAGCAAAGGTTTAGGGGGGGAAAAAAAAATCTTATCTATTGAAAAAGCCTTTTATGAAATAAACAGGCTCACATGATCGATCTGAAAGTAACTTTCTTTATTACTGTTTCTTAAAAAATTCTCTTTCAAAAAAACCCTAGCCAATATAAGAGCTATTGAGTGTCATATTATATTCCTTAAATAAACAACAGGGACAAAGCCATGCTATAAACACAAGGATTCAGAAAATTTTTCTCCCAGGCTTTAAAACTTCATACTGATGGTAACTATGACGATGCTCAGGTGTCCGCCAGCTTCCTTGATGTCT